ATCAAATCAAATCAAAGGCAGGGTACACTCTGGACAGGTCGCCACTTTTCAGAACCAAATTAATAATAATTTTAAAAAAAGTACAATTATATAACCTCATTGATCGATGGTGGAAAATTCAAAAGCTACCCAACAGTAATTCAAATTAAATGACTATAAGCTGGTTAAAAGTAGCTCCCCCTTTTATCAGATGGAACATAATAATGCATCAGTAACTATAATACAATGATACGATGCACATTAATGTCATTCTGCATAATGAATACTTTTACTTTTAGTACTTTAGGTGTGTTTTTATGCTGATGCTTTTGTACTTTCAAGTAACATTTTGAATACAGCACTTTTACTTGTAGCAAAGTACTTTTACACTGTTGTATTGCTACTTTTACTTAAGTAAAGGATCTGAGTACTTCTTCCACCACTGGTAGTGATTCCCAACTTTTTGGTTTGTGGCCTTTTGCATCATTGTCACTGGCTGCATATATCCTCTGGTTGTGGCCAGTTCAACAGAAAAAGGCATTTTGTCTTATTTTACTTGGATATTTCGAGGCCAGAAAAGGTAAAATTATCCACCAATTTACAAGAGAAGAAAAAAAACTAAGAATAGAAGAAAGTCTGACACAATAAATCTAATTTTGTGCAGCAGCATTTCTTTTTTTTTCAGGACCACCACACCAGTGATCAGCCCATGTACAGCCCTGGTCTGAACTGTTGTCTTACTCTACAGCAGTATCCAGGAAGGGGTGAGTTCTGCTCTCTCACTTTCTCACCTAGATTTATCCTTCTGGCATGTGTACCCATTCACAAGCCCACTTCTCTAGCCATAAGGCCACCAGTTCCTGCATGGTATCTGTTCCTTACTAAAATATGAAGAATTGCTAAGTTCAACCGACTCATCAGTACAGAGCATTTTGGTGTTTTCAAATCAGAGGTTTAGCTGCTAAACGCTCCACTGTGTTCACTAGCTGCTAACTTTACCTCTTAGCTGTTTGGTGTTGGGCGGCTTGTGTACAGTGAAAGCAGCAGCCTTCAGGCTGCTAGACTGAACCGTAACAGTAAAGGTGTGGGCTGTAAATCCAAAACAATGAGCTGAAAGACACTAAAATCCTTCACTGAATTAAGGGAACTTCAGAGTCAGGACATTATTTTGTAAGGGTTTGACTCCATCGCAATAACCATTTTACTACTGTTACTAAATAAAATGATTTGATGATGATTTCTGCTAATGATAATTAGCACCAGCAGCTGAACAGATTTAATTTTTATCCAGTTGATGTTTGTACTGAGGCCTTTTGTCTCTGCAACAGAAAACAAACAAAAATCTACATTCTCTTGTGTAATACATCCATGATTCTGATAGGCACGACTGCCTATCCATGACTGACATTTGGAAAGTGTGATGTCATCCTTTTAAAGGAGCGTGTGTGTGTGTGTGAGAACAGTGCACATGCCAGCAGTTTATGCTACACATGTATGGATTCCTCTCCGCACTCAGGGTAAGAACCACTTCCCGTTAATGGCACAGCGGTGGGAGGTGGAAATGGTTGATGTGGGGAATCTGGCATCAAGGCTCCCTCGGAATTGATGCCAGATGACATTAAACAACTCCATGTGTTATTTACGCACACACAAACACACAGTCACACTTCAGACCCCACGTATTTTGCTGACACATTTTGCTGCTCACACGCAACTTGCTCTCTTGCTCTGGATCTGGCTGTTGGACGGTGCACGTATTGCGTGGTGGGAAGTGACCTGGCAGTTCACTTTGCTGTTGACTGGGCCTTCCCTCTGTCTGTGCTGTTTCACCACAGAGCTTGGAAATGGGAACGCCCTCCTCGATAAATCACTCTGAAGCACTTCTGCATTTCCTTTGTTATTGCCTCAGGATCCACACAACCTTTCCTTTCCCTCCTTTTTGTCCTTCCTGCTTTAAATAGAGCTTCATTTAACCTGTTTTGACTTTTTATAGTAGCAGAAGGCTCTTTTTATAAACAACCTTTTGGCCTTGTATTTTTATTGCTACTTTATGCACACCTGGAAACATAAATAGCACCAGCTTAAGGGACCGATTAAACATTGCTGATTAACAGAATAATAGAAGGGAACCAGTAATTCTTGACCTTTAAAGCAGAGGTTGAAACTCTTTCCTGACAAGGTCTCTTCAGCAGCTGCTCTGTCGCTTTCTATATCGAGTCATGTTCCCCAGCAGATGTGAGAGAAAGCTCCAAGACAGCTACTGAATGGACCGCGTGGTACTGTTTGACTAAATGTTTCCAGACATTTTTTATTGATAACTTTACATAAACTTAGTTTACAACATACTGTATAATAAAAAGCACCCATATACAAAAAGCAGAAAAACGCCATGGTGCACAAAGACAGTGGAAATAAGTCCTCTAACCTTAAGCATCTTTAAAGAGCAATATGGTGATTGATTCTTCAAATGATTGCAGCCAAAAGCAAACATAGTGCCACTGATATTTATGTGATGCTTAGCTGCCTGGGCCATAAATCCAGCAAACACAAATTAAAAAAGGAAAGAAAACAGGCTCATTATTCAAACAGTCCACACCCCCTCTGCTCCATCCTCGGTGTCATGTACGACCGTGACTGTGCTCGCTCCTCTCTTCTTCTTTAGAAACAAACAGCTCGATGTCTTTGGGCCTGAAACAGTCTGAGATGGAAAACTCACTGCTTGCTTGAAGTGCTCATGAGCAACCTGTGATAGTGTAAGTGTCTGCAAGTAGACTTTGTTGTTCTTTAATGGATCAACAGCCAAAACAGTTGGGGACCTTTGTAATAGAAGTGGAATTTATTTGGTCATTGGTTTTAATTTGCATTTTATTTAATCACAATCAGAAAGTAAATCTCATGAAAATAAAGACTGTTACTAAAGTCACTGTCCTTTTATGATAATAGTGTCATTTTTATAGTTGCATTATTGCATCATTATTATTATTATTATTATTATTATTAATATATACTTGTATCAGTACTCAGCATCGGCAAGTACTCAAATGTAAGTACTCGTACTTGGTCTGGAAAAAAGTGGTATCGGTGCATCCACAGGGTAAAATGAGTAGTTTGACATTCTGGGGAATACACAGTTGTCTAGCTGAGACTTAGAGCAGGGCAGTGATGCCAGTGTCACGTGTGCATAAAGACTGGAAACAGGGAAATAGCCTTACTCCCCACTCAGCACCTAGTTGTGTAGAACTTCTCAAGTTTGCACAGTTTTTCTGTGATTCCACTGAGTTTTGCACAAGAACTGTGACATCGTTACTGGAGCTCTGATGTTATTGCACTGACTTTTGGGTGGGACACAACTAATGATGACAACTAATAGTGTTCACTCTTACAAAGAAAACTGCCATAAGCCATAATATGATGCTATAATATCACATTTCCAGCCAATAGAATTGCTCTGGCCTGCTGGTATTGCCTAACATGACATATGTGTTTGGTCATGTACAGCATCAAACCAAGTGTGCATGGAGGGCACTCAGCATCCATGGCTACAGTGTAGGCAGTCCTCAGGGAAGTTGACATGAAGAGGAAGCATGAGAATGCCGCGTCCCGATACAACAAACAGGAAACTATGAGCAGCTCTGTGCTGCAGCTGACACGCAATAAGCAAAGCAGATTATACAAACATGGTTCTTGTGAACTAACCTCCACACATTTGGCTGATCATGTAAACAGGAAACAGAATCCACTTTTTCCTCACCGTGCTGCCTCCACACTATGGCCTGTACAATCTTCCTGTTATTTCCTCCTCGTCTTGTCCCCCTATTTTCTCCGCTCATTTTCTTTACGAGACAGTTTGTACTTCTGATAAGCTTTTGGAGCTCCGTAAACTTTATTACAGCAATCTCAGTGCAAACAGCTCATACCAATCCATAGATTCATCCCCCCAGTCCTCGACAAAACAATGGAAGAAAAACAAAGATAACTATGTTGCCTAATTTTGTTTCTGACATGTAAAAACAGCCTCCCTAGATTCTGCCCTTTCACTGGGCTGGTGAACCGGGAACCCTGCAGTCCTCGTGCCCTCAGCTTGTGAATAAAAGATGAGCCTGGCAGCCCATTGTTACTGGAGGTTGGTGGTGCAGTATACTGGAAGCAGACAAGAGCAGTAGGCTGATAAACATTTTGCACTGATTATCTTCTAATCTGAAGAATCAGGTATTGGTAGCTCTACAGAGGATAACTGTAGCGTATATGGCTGTAATTCTGAGCTAATCAACATTTCTCTCTGGGTTTTCTTAAGTCAAACAAAATAAACCAGAGTCCAGATTACAACCAAAGATTCAGCTACAACATACAGTTGTCTTAATGATGGCAGTAAGTAACATCTCTATCACAAATGACACATCAGCATGCACACAATGCTTTTCCATTACCACTAGATCACCAAGACTATATAAAATAAAGCTAAAATGAAGATAAAATTAAACATTCCTTCACTGTGAGAACTATAATTTGGGATATCTCAATAAACTTTACTGCAACTCTGACATTTGATATAAAGAAAAAATAAAACAGAATGCAAACAATCGGAGTACTTCTTCTACCACTGACTGATGCACCTTGTTTTTAACTCTTGAGTAAATATATTTCCTGATAATGTTTAATAAAGATGAAAACGTTTCACATTTTGAGTGGAAATGTATACCACGGTCGTGCATTTTGGACACAACATTCCTCTACTAATCACCAAGATATACAGGAACTTTGACCATTAATAAATGATATAAACCCGCCTGAGTGGCTTCCTGTCAATCACTCTCCAGCTCCCACTGTGATTGGCTGTTCCGCCTCCTCGTCGGCCAATAGTGAGGCAGCTGGGGCGGATACCAAGCGCCCAGGTTGGTAGAAGCAGCATACCACGGAGCTGCAGTCAGGTCCTTTGTGACTGACAGGAGGAGGAGGCAGAAGCAACAGCAGCCTTGACGAGGAGTGTGCCGCGCCCAAATGTCTCCTGTACACAGGTAAAAGCCACTTAAAATACCGGAAGTAAAGGCAACGTCTAAACACAGGTGACGGAAACTATCGGCGAAGTTTGTGAAGTGAAGAGATTCCGCTGGATTTGACCCTCGATAGAAACAGAAACAATTGGTGCTTTTTTGACCCACGGGTTAATTGAACTTTTGCTTGGAGCGCGTTGAAAGCAAGTCGGTAAAACAACACATTGCTTTCTAACTCGACGCGGACTCTGATCTGGAGGAAGCCTTTTCGGTAAACGAGTTCACACCCGCAAGGAAAGGTGAGCCCGGCTTTTCTTTTTGTCATGTAGGCTGCATACATTTTAACTTTTAAAATGCCTTGCTGTCGGTTTGTGCCTTTGGAGAGGAGTCCCAGTTGTTGTCCCTTTTGTTTGTTCCTCTGCCCGGAGGTCGGGGCTTCCATCAGCGTGCAAAGGCATGTGCACAGTCTGAAGGGGTCTGTTCATTCCAGCCTGAACATCCTCAACACTGTCAGTCTGACCCTGCCTTTCTGAAACGGTAATGAAAACAAGCCAATTCTGCCCTGTGTTCTTCCAACCAGGATAAAAGATTTAATCTGAGTCTTTCTTTGTCATAGCACATTCTGCAGGTAGGCACAGAAATGGTTTCCAAACAACACAAGTTTCTATATGTCACATCACAGCTGCCCTTCAACGAAGCCTGTCATTGTTCGTTTTGTTACAGTGTCACAGCTCTTCAGCAGTTTGTGCTGGACTGCAGTAAATTAAAGGCCTTTCACCCTCTTTTACATTCATGAGGGGGGTGGAAATATAAGAAATCTCTCTGTAGGTCTGCAGCTAACAAATGTTTGCATGAAACTGGCCTTTGTTTTTATCAGTTGGACTATATAATGTTGTAAAATGTTGATCAATAAGCCACAACAGTTTTCCATCCTCAGATTGCCTGTGCAGTTGTTTGCAATTCAGTCTAACACTTACACATTACGGCCTGTTTATTAAGTGCAAACTGTTTTGGTTTTTGGTGAAGTTGTCATAAATGTATAAATTCAATAATATGTTTATTATTGAGGTCAAAGTTAGGGAGCAAGGGAGTGCATTGCTGCCCCAAGTCAAGGAGTTTAAATATCTCAGGGTCTTGTTCAGGAGTGAGATAAACTAGAGCGTGAGGCTGACGGGCGGATAGGGGCAGCATCAGCAGTAATGAAGGCGTTGTACCAGACCATTGTGCTGAAGAAGGAGCAGAGCCAAAAGGCAAAGCTCTCAGTTTACCAGACAGTCTACGCTCCATCCCCTACCTATGGTCACGAGCTGCGGGTAGTGACTGAGATAATAAGATTGTGAATACAAGCAGCTGAAATGAGTTTCTTTTGTTGGGTGGCTGGACTTAGTCTTAGAGGTAGGGTGCGGAGTTCGGACATCTGATTAGGTTAGATTGGAAGGGGCTCAGAGTAGGACCGCTTCTCCTTCATGTTGAAAGGAGCCAGCTGAGGTGGTTCGGGCATCTTATCAGGATGCCTCCAGGGCACCTCCCTTTGGAGGTTTACCAGGCATGTCCAACTGGTAGGAGACCCCGGGGTAGACCTGGAACAGGCTGGAGAGACTATATATTTCATCTGGCCTGGGAACACCTTGCAATCCCACCAGAAAAACTGGAACATGTCTCCAGGGAGAAGGACATCTGGACTACCTCGCTGAACCTACTGCCACTGCGACCCCACCCCAGATAAGTGGATGATAATAGATGGATGCATAGTTAAAGGTGGTGTTGTACTGAATATAATGTATTTCCGGTACAACACCACCTTTAACTAGATAATAAACATTGATTGTATATGTTTGTTAATTTCACCAAAACCTGAAACACTTTGAGCTTCATAAACACAGATGTTAAGGTGGATGTGTTGCATTAAAGTTCATACGATTGTACAGGTGTACCTAATATAGTGGCTAGTCAGTGTATTAAAAAAAAATTGTCATTAAAACCAAAGAACAGTAGCAGATTTTCACATTTAAGAAGATGGAACGAGCAGTGTTTTTGGAGTTTGTGCCTAATAAATTAGTGAAACAATGAATTAAAACAGTTTAATTTTAGGCCAGTGTCTCTCTCAGGATGTAATACAGTCCAGTACAACACCAGTGCTGTCCTTGTACATCTGCTTGTAATCAGACCACATTAAACATTTAGGACATTGGCTTCTGTCGTTGAAATTTTATTTATTTATTTTTGTTTTGACAAACATTACTCCCACTGTATAAAAGGTACTGGCTCGGAATTTTATGCCACTTAAGGGTTTGAATGATCCCAAGTTTGTGGCCTTAAAGAGAACTGTGGATTCCAGCCGTATTTTTGACAAGTTCAGGTTAAAAGGGACAGTCATAAGTTCTCAGCGCCCCAGTTGATGCTTGATAAAAAAACTTGTCTTGTCCAACCAAATGACCCATTTACAATGATGTAAATGAACTGAAGCAGTAAATCTCTACACTTGTGATGCTGGAACTGAAGAATGTTTGAGGTTTTGCTTGATAAATGACTCCAGCAGTGTCCTGATTATCAGGGCTGTTGCTGATTGATTGTCTGCTGATCTACTTATGTGGACGAGCTGTTTAGTGCAGTTGACTGTTCAAATGAGCAAAGGTCATAAAGCAAGCAGCTGTCTAGTTTTGTCATAGAGAAAGTTAACATGAGTTTCCTGTAAGTCTGCGGGGAAGTACCCATATTATTTACTGAAAGGTATTCGGAGATAAAGGTAGGACTTGATTGATCACAGTGGGGAAATTCCTGTGTTACAGCAGCAACAAAACACCGTAAGAACAAACACCAAACACATATCTTGACAAACAAATTCCAAAGTACCTAAAACCAAACAGAATATATTATTTGAGAGACAATCAAGAACAATTAATCCCTGAGAACAAATCAAAACACCTAAGAACAAGACAAAATATAGTATTCAAGAAGTCAATGACAAGAATATTACTCCCATAATTAATCCCACAATGGGGGAAATACCTGTATTTCAGCCATGAGGATCTCTGAAAAACTACTCCAAAATAACTAAAACAAGACAATATAAAGTATTTGAGAGAAATCAAGAACAAGATTTTACACGTGCATATTTACAATGCATTTTACCCCGAGGGTATTGCATAATTGTATTTTTACAAATCCAAAACAACGTCGGGTAAACCTGAGAAACTGGACTGCCACTGCAAAACAGACTCCTGAGAGTTGATTACTCTAATAATATTCTGAAATCTACCTGAATCTACATAAGCAGATGACAGTTTCCAGGTTCTTTTAGATGATATTTGGCCCTTTTTCATTTGCGATCTTGTCTCCAAAGAATATTATGAGGTAGCCTAATTGATTTAAATATCGTGTGTGCTTATCGTATTTTGATGCATAGCAAAAAAAAAAAAAAAAAAACACAAAGCTTCTCTGGGTTGTGTGTATTTTTTTGGCTTTGGATGTTTCCTGTTGGTCAGAAACTCCGACCAAGTTGGTTTTCCTTTGTGATAAGAGGTGGTGTCTCCTCATGAATCTGTGTAGGTTAAAGATAATCTTTATGCAGATGACAGACGGTCCCACCAGTTGCATGTCTATAGTTCACAGCTGGAAGGAGACACTGCAGAGGAGGCAGTTGATTTAAAACAATCTTACTCAGACAGGGCTCCCTGAGGAGATGAGCAGAACAATAGTTTTTGACTGTCTCTCCTGCAGTTTGTCACCTCTGCTGCAGCTTTTAGTAGGAGAGGTGTGTGTGTGTGTGTGTGTGTGTGTGTGTGTGTTCCCATTCCGAGGCAGCGCTTGCTCAAGTTGGGTAGAGGAGGAGGGAGAAGAGACTTGGGTGTGTCGGCTCTGGTAAAGACCGGTTTGTGTTCCAACTGGTGTTTTACTGATTCAGCCCAGTTCGTTCACACACAAACACAGACACATGATGTATGAAAACACACACACTCCCCAAGAGCCACACAGAGTGGAAATACCACAGTGGACTTGGTTTCTGGACCAAATAGTTTTTGTATCTTTGAGAAGGGTTACACCACCTTATACCCAGTGAGGTCAGAATGGTAATAAATCCTCCCCTCCTGAAGGTTGTAATGTTCAGACATTAAAAACACAACACGATGTGTTTTAACTCAAGCTAGGGCTGCACGATTAATCGTATCGGGAGCCTGATTTAGATCCCTGTGCGCTCTGTCTCGCGTGACAATGCCTCTGCCGTGTTTACATTAGCACGGAGATGCCTTGCCACAAACCAAGCGTTCCCTTTTCCTCGCTAATCTGTGTTAACCAATAGCAGGAAGGCGTTCCATCTCGTGATGAGGTGTACAGGAAGAGAAGACTAATTCAAAAACTAATCCAACATGTTTGACATTGTGAAAGATATTCAGTTTTACACGTTGTGCTACCTGCCCTGTACACCTAGTGCCGAATAGCGGTTGAGGCACAAATAAATCACTTTGTAGTTATTGGGGGGGGTTGCAGGAGTGTTGTGGGCGTGTAAAATAAGGCCATGTTGTAAGAAGTGGACATGAGCGAGCACGTTTCCAGCCTGAGTTTCCGTTGTGTTATGGTTAGCCATGCTGCTGACATAGCCTGCTCTACCTTAGCACCAGTTCTACCACTGATATGTCGGCATCGATGGATTAAAAGCAGTGTTTAACATCCACTACTAGTGGAAATGCGTGGCTTGTTATCATGGTGCAGATTCAACAGTGAATAGCAGTGAATGCCCAAGGTAACCCGTCTTCTTCCTGTGGACACCCACGTCCCGATTGTCCCCAGTACATGATTGGTCACCACAGCCCTTTTGCCGGATGATGTCACAGTCCAGTGCGGTGAATGTTGAACCAGATTCAATGTTTTCCCTGCACAAGGTTGCATCTTTTTGCCGGAGGCCCCTGCAGTGCTGGTGCCGGTTGTGCCGAACACAATCCCCCATAGGAATGAATGGAGAGGGCTGCGTTTTTTCACACCATTGAAACTTGGTCTGCACGCAACCTTCGAGGCTGTAGTTTGCTCTGCATTATAGGGAGAGAGGTGTTTGTTATTTAATCTAGCCTCAGTGATATAAACAGGGTGGACACAATCTTTGATAGAACTATAATAAGAGTGACAGATAAAACTCGGTGCCCCGAAGCTCAATAAGGGCGTCTCTCAAATGCACTTTAGTTATAAGGCTACGTACCATTTTATCAGCCTAATGTTTAAGAGGTACAGCTTAGCATAAAGACCACTTTAACTTATGCTACGCTAACATGTTGCATCTTCATATTTATCATACACATATAAGAGTAGTATCAATTTTCTCTTCTAACTCCTGGCAAGACAACAACTAAGTGTATTTGCCCAGTTGTCAAACTATTCCTTTGAGCATTAGTGACTTTCTTGTTGTGTTGTATCTTGTGATCTGAATTTGTTTTAGCTCTGCTTTGTTCTGCACCAACTCCTGAAAGAAACATCTGGCTTTTTAGCTGCTCCACTGTGTTAGCTAGTTAACTGTGTTCTGGGCAGGTTGTCTACACTTGGTTTATCTGAGTCTTGTAGCTTGAAATACTTGATGATGCTAGTTTAGTTGTGATAGTTCCACATCTTGTGATTGTGGTTTCCTGGTCTGCACAGCTGCAGTCTTTGTTTGATTCAGTCTCTCTTTTTTTTTTTTTTTTTTGAAGAATGGAACTGAAATAATTAAAGGTGTGCACCCAAAAGAGTCAAGGAAATGTTTTACTGCACTTAACGGAATCATAAAATGGGTTGTATTCAGACTTTCAAAGTTGACTGAAGTTTTTTTTTAAATCACTCATTCCATCAGAATATCTCCTGAGGAGAACCAGACTATGAATTTGTCTTGATCTGTATATGCTCTGAAGTAGGACAGTCTGAAGTTGCACTCCTGTGAGATGGAGCTGTTTAGTGACCTTTGGTACAGAAGTCAGACTCATTCATTGACTTGCTGTGCAGCTGATTTGACTGTTTGAGAAATACAGATGGACCAAAGGCTGTTTTAGCTTCGAGATGCAACTGTTGTACTGTTTATGCTTATGGCTGAACAGCTATTTACAAGAAAAGACATGGGATTTTAGATTGAACTAACAAACATTCTATGTATTACCCTACAAGTTGTATTTGTCTCGTGTGTTGTAATGTTAGTTACATTTATCAGTTTTGATGCCAGTGCTGATAGTAATTCTTGAGAAAAGATTTGACTTTGAACACCAATTACAAGCCATACTGTTGTTGTTGAGGATTATAAACTTCTCATTCAGTGAAAGAAGCCATTGTTCTCAACTGTTAAAGGTTATTCACACATGCAGCCACATGAGAATGTGAATGAAACAAAATAGTCAAATTGGTTTTGAAATGTTTTTATGTAAATCAGTACCTGTCTGGTTTAAAATGATAAGCTATTGCAGCACACACAGTGTGTTTATGCAGTAGCACACAACGGAAGCCTCATTGTGACACTGACTTGAAAATATCACTTGAGGGAACTTATCAGATTTCGAGCAGCTTTGTCTGCAGACACAAAAGGCTTCGTACTTCACATGTAGTACTTCACAAGACCTGGGAAGACACTTTGGTGTGTAAAATGGGTGGAGGTCATCTTTAAGGCAAAAGAAAAGTCGAGTTCAGCATATAGCAATTAAGTAAGAAGATGTACTGTACAACTCGGAAGAGAGCGAGTGCTGCTATCGGGTCGGTCCTCAGTTGAAGTTATGGGCTCTGCAGCATGAGGGGAAAAGTCAACCCCCTAGTGAACCTGTCGCTGGTGGTCATATATCCAAAGTGGCAACTGGACTTGCTTGAGGTTCTTAAGGTGTTTCACGTCTCATCCAACATAAATATGTGGGACTCCACCAGTCAACACAACTGGCAAAGTTTCTCAGATGAGAGGTGGAACGTCTTCCGCAACCTAAAGCACTTGTGGTATGTGTTTCCCTTAGGATTATCTTGCATGTTTTTAAGATGTGTAATGTGAAAAAGCTGCAATGCTGTGGGTTAATTTTAGTAAAAGTCAGCAGAAATGTTGAAGGTTTGTTTGTACAGTGTCACTTAGACCTTGTACTTAAACGCAAGATAGTGCACACTCATAACTAAAATGGAGAGGAAATGAAATGTCACGAACAGTTCTCATTTTTGTCATAGGAGCGACGGTGTTATCAGCTTTGATGTGGAAGGTTAGCGCTCAGAGAGCAGCTGTCATTTAAGTTCATGATTGACAGCTCATGTCTGTGATGTGGACGAAAACCTTTTCATATGCATTGTTCAGTCAGACACTGTTGAACATGCACACAACAGACATTATTATTCTTTTTCACCCAAGACTTACTCTTGTTTTGACATTCACAATCTCACTACACTTCTTCCCACCTTCACCAGACCCTTTTCTTGCAGTTGTCTCGTGCATCGTTTCATTATCAAGCCTTTGAGGTTCACATATTTTTCTGGTTTTGATTTGGCATTCTTGTCACACACCCTTGGTAGGAGAGTGGGGCATTCAAGTTCACTCCCTGTGTGTGTGTGTTGCGTGTTTGGATTGCAATTGAGTTACATAGCTGGATTGTGTAATTGTGAGGTGTGTCTCTGCTGTAGGGAGCTGCTCTGGTGTTTCCATTGTTGACTCCTTGAGTCGACGGTACTTTTACGTGTCGTCGTGCTGAGCTGGCTTTCACAGGAAAAAAGGACAATGTGAGAGGAAATGGTGCTGACTGAACATGCACCCTGCAGTCTGCACAGGTTTACCATAAATAGAGGACTAAAACCCATTGTTGTTGGCTGCACTTCGGTGACTGTCCAGAAGTCAAGGCTGAGTTCTTCTCTCTTCATCACAGCATCAGACATAATTCCTTGCATGTTCCTGTTGTTGTTTGTCAGGCTGTGCAGAGAGCTGTCACTGAGCTCAGTAGGAATCTGATAATGCAGCTGCTCTCACTGCATTTGTTTATGTAAGCCTGGCTACATTGAGGTGCACGGTATCCTGTAATGATGTTGGCAGAGTGGTCTGAGCTCCAGGTGCTGCTGTTACTGGTCTTGTTTTGTCTGACAATATAATACTAGATGTGTGCCGAGTTGATCCATTTTAGGTGTGTTTCAACGCATTGACTATCATTTTGAAAGTAATGCACAACCCTGTGAAATAAAGGCTCACAATACTGAAGACGCTGTAACGTGCTCATCTTTTGTGTGATGCTTATGAGTTGTTGAAGCATGATGTCATATCCTACCATGTTGGTTCCACAGAGTGAAATTAAAATGTATTTTTAAAACTACATCACTTATTTCATATTCAGTTTGACACTGAATATAACACTTTAACTATGTAATTTCCTTGTGAACAAACAAGTTGTTTACACCCAGATTAACTACGCAAACGTGTATCACTGAGGTCAAACAAATGTGCTGAAGCTTTTCTTCCTTGTTAATGGTATTAAAAGTATATATTGAAAAATGATGAATGCAATTGACATAAATCTACATCCCTAACAGATTTATGATGATTGTAGCTGAACAGGTTTAGTTTATGGTTAGCAACTCCTGTAAAATGGTTGTTTATTGACATAAACTAATAATTGTTTCCACAGGCTGAACCCTTGTACCCAGACAGCTGTTACGCTAAAGGCCGCAGACCCCGTCCCCGATCCTGCCAGTCCTCACGTGTCCAGCTGATGGGATGCTCGTCTCCAGCGCAGCATCCAGGACGAGTTTGAATGGTGCCTTGGTCCAGCTCCTCTGCTTCTTGTCTGTAACGCCGCACTCTACTCAGTCCGCTTCAGCTCTTCTGTGACTCCACATCCACCAGATACCTCAACATGGCCAACACCTCTGGGAAATGCTACTGCAATGAAACCATCAAATTTTTCTACGAAGCAAGTGGCAAAAAGATCAATGACAACTGGGAAACCCGAGATTATGTGATCGTAGCTCTGGGCATGATGGTCTGCTTCATTGTCATCTTTTCCAACCTTTTGGTCATAGGGGCCATTTTAAAAAACCGACGCTTTCACTTTCCCATCTACTACTTGCTGGGCAATCTGGGTTTGGCAGACCTCTTCGCAGGTACCGTTCTTTTACTTCTTGTACTACTACATTATTATTATTATACCACTGGGTATTCAGTAAAAATGTCTCTGTCCCAGGGCTGTGCTTTCTGACTGAACTGTAGCAGAGTTTCCTGGTTTAGGACACACAAGATTTAGATTCTACTAATGGAAAACATGTTGGTGCCCGAACAGCTTTCTGACTAGTTACATGAAGTGTGGGTAACAAGGCTGGCTTCTTATCAGGCCACAAGGTTACTGTGGTGCCTGAACAGGAGGAACGAGTTAACGATGTTGCATCACTGATGTGTTTCACTCACTGGGTGCATCGTACAGGACACACAGATGTAGCTGGGAGTAGGGCTGCAACTAATGACTGCTTTAATGAACAATGAATCTCCATTATTTCTACCATTAATTGATGTATTTAAAAAAAAAAAAAAAAAAAGCACAAATCTATTTTCCACTTTATAAAAACAAATGCGTTTATTTAAACTGTACCAGAACCGATACTTAAACAAAGAAGCATAAAACAAGGCCATACTGTACATGATGTCCAGGAGAAGTACTGTTTAATGTTTAACCCTACAGTCCTGCAGTATTGCCAGAGAATAATGTTGCAGTGCGTCAGGTCTGTTCAGCTGCAGGCTGATGTATTCTATGTGGTAGTGCTGCCTAAAGTAGAAATACTGCAGGCAGACCCGTGCACAAACAGGAACATGAATAGTTTCTGTAAGACAAAACTGAGTGTGGTTAACGCAGGGGAAAAAAAAACCTTGAGCACTGACACGCTTGTGGTGTAAGTAAAATAATGAAAACTGAACGGGACCTTCAATGATGAAATTAATGGCCTTGTAAATACAAAGCTTAGTTTAGACAGTTCATCTGTGTTTTTGAGACTATGAATACTATTTACCTACTTTGTCAGTTGAGTTTGTGCTGGTCCCGTAGATATTAAGCTGTTAAAGTTGGCCAACCTCTCTTTTATCATACTCATATTGCATGTGAAGATGTGAAACAGAGATTTAGGAGTGTGGCCCAGTCTTGGCTGGTAGAAACCGGTCCTAAAGCACAAACGACTCCTTGAAGGCAACAAATATCTAATGGAGTGTAGTGTTTTGTAGCTCTCCTTTCAAATTTATCTGTAATGACTTTCCTCCTCCCAGGCGTCGCCTACCTCCACCTGATGTTTCATACTGGTCCCTGGACAATTAAGCTGTCTAAGGAGCAGTGGTATGTGCGGCAGGGGCTGATCGACACCAGCCTGACAGCCTCAGTCCTCAACCTCCTGGCTATTGCTGTTGAGCGTCACCAAACCATCTTCAAAATGCAGCTGCACAGCAAGATGAGCACCCGGCGTGTTTTCATCATCATGCTGTTCATCTGGGTGGTGGCAATCTTCATGGGCCTGATTCCCACCATGGGCTGGAATTGCCTGTGTAACCTGAAGAACTGCTCCACCATGGCGCCGCTGTACAGCCGCAGCTACCTGGTGTTCTGGGCTGTTCTCAACCTGGTGACCTTCTCCCTCATGGTCGCAGTCTACACCCGGATCTTTGTCTACGTGAGGCACAAGAGCAAGCAGATGTCACAGCACACCAGCCAGATCAGACACAGAGAGACGGTGTTGAACCTGATGAAGACCGTCTCCATGATCCTGGGTGAGGAAGCACACACCTACTGCACATGTACACACATCAAGAGCTGGGCAGAAAAATTAGAGAAACACATGGAGACATTGAGAATCTTTCACCAGCCTGACTGAAGTCATGTTGGTATGTTTGGTGAACTATTGGTTAATGTGTCATTTTTAAGCAAACTGCCTTCATTCACAACCTTTAGGTTGGTAAAAACAATAAATAAAACGGAACATGAGCAGCTTTAAGTGTTTCTCTACAAAAGGAAATAAGTGTGAACATATAAGGGATAATCAAATTGAAAGTAAAAGAAAATCTGTCGATGCTCGACTCACTTCAGACCTGCAAGAGAAGAACAAACAAAACACTGAAATCTCTCATTTATAGTAAGAAGCTGATTGAAAACTGGTTTTCAGGGCCTGGACACATTTTGCTCATTGTACAAGAGATGGAAGCTTTTTTTTTTTTTCTTCCCAGAAATGATCAGTCTTCAGAGAATAAGCCGACAAGCACCCGCAGCCTCTTAAAGCTATGCCTGTGCCCTTCATGCACGCTCCTCAGCTTGTCTCTACTTGTTAAACCGCTCTACTCCCCCACCCAGAC